AAAGGGAGGCAGTGGAGTAAATGGATGATCGAAAGTGCTTCAGTTATTGGTAGTAAGCACTATGAGTGTACCAGATATATGGAAGCACATACGGGTTGGATGCCCGTTGAGGTTGTGGCAATGTTGGATGATGCGCAGGCATGTTTTCGGTCTCCTTGGAAGAGGAGGAGGATAGTGGTTCCAGATCGAGGAATGGGACAGAGGAAGGTGATTCAGCAGGATAACAGACTCGGGAGCAGTCTGGACCGGTGCTGAGGACTGCATAAGGATATTACAGTCGGAGGTCAAGGACCTAGAGATCGCGATAGGGAAGTGTGGGTGGATTGCACTCCGTTGTGTCGAACCGAAGGGTTCGAGGGTGACGCAAGGACAAGGTCCTTAGTTCCGAGTATGGTTGTAGGCTTGGCTTATGTATGTGGAGGTATTCCAACCTGGGGTATTCCATCATGAGGATTCGTTCCAGGTTGCTAGTTGTCAGGGTTATTGCCAACCTTGGGCGAAGGAAGATGAATTAGTGTCTTGGCGGAGCTCAGTGGGTGTTGTGGTACCCAGTTTTCGCAGGTTGCGAATGAATGCGTAAGACGGAAGTAAGGTAGTGTCTTCAGGTGGCACTTAGTTGATGAGTGTTGTCATCAGAGAAAAAAGCCGATGGCCGGCTTGAAGCAGTTGATCAGGACCCTGCAAGGGAAGAGATGGATTTTAGGGATTCGATAGCAGTGATTGAAGGAATCTGGGCCGGTTTGAGATCAGTGGATGCATTGTGGGAGTATCATCCGGAAGTTCGTGTTGCCGCAGGCTTCGAAGACGAAGCCTAATTTAAGTGGGGGAGAATTGTAACATCCCAAGTTCGGAAGCAAGAAGTTGAAGGGTGCTAAGTGAAAATAAAGGAAGGGACTCGACGAGTAGGTCTCTTGACTCGCCGAGTCGAAGCGGGTGCGTGGCACGGGGTTAAGTGGCCTGACTCGGCGAGTCGGCGGCTGGACTCGACGAGTCAGTGCTGGTCGAGGAAAAACCCTAATCTTCGGGGTTGCACCCTATTTAAAGGACTTAATGTCCTCCCCTCAGCTCCCTTAGCCCCCTTTGAGACCCAGAAACCCTAGAATCGTGAGTGAGAGCCATTGGAAGCAAATTGGAGCATTGTTAAGTGTTTTGTGAAGAGATCTTAAAGATCAAGAAGCTTGGATCAAGGAGATTTGTGGAGATTCAGATTACTCTTCAGCAGGAGGTCGTTTTGGAGGTAATGAATCGTTATCCTTGGCTTTCCCCTTTTTAGATCCATCTTCATGGAAGTTTTATGGCTTTTTTTGGAGATGATATGATGAGATCTTGGTGTATAAGTTAGATCTGGAGTTGAAACTCCAGATCTGAGCTCTATTTGGATCAAAGATGCAGAAAGCGCTTTTGGTTGCTATGCAAAAGCCTTTCCCCAAGAGTTAAGTACCTTTCTAGCTTGGTTTTTGGTATTATGGGGCAAGAAGCACGTAAAGGTAGCAACTTTATGTTGCTAATGGACTCTAGAGACCCCGATCTATTGTTTGGAGCAAAGGAGTAGCTCTGTGACTCGATATTTTGGGAATGCACGTATGGACTCGATGAGTCTGGGAGATGACTCGGCGAGTCGGGCTAGAGATCAGACTTTGAGTCGCGTAGTAACTCGGCGAGTCGCATGGGTGACTCGACGAGTCTTATGATGATGAGCTTGGACTCGACGAGTTGGAAGAACAACTCGGCGAGTCTATTGAAGATTGTCGTGGACTCGGCGAGTCTGTTCTTGGACTCGGCGAGTCTGGTCGTAGAACCCCTAACCTCTTTTGGTTAAGACGTAGATCAGTGAGTCGAGGGGTGACTCAGTGAGTTGGACAGGATGGGACTCGGAGATCGTTGGACTCGACGAGTCTTGGGGTGACTCGGCGAGTAGACTCGGGTTATGGGAATTTCTGAGTATAGGGACTCGACGAGTCGACGGGTCGACTCGGCGAGTAGAGTCAGTCAGGGAGGTTGACTTTGACTGAGGACTTTGACTTTGACCAAGAGTTGACCAGTTTGACTTCCAAGGGTATTTTGGTGATTTTGGTATTTATGGAATTGGTTCTTTGGTAGTGTTCGGTGGTGGAGTTCGTGTCGGTGATCGGAGCAGCTGATCTTATCCTTTCAGTCGGCAATTGCGAGGTGAGTTATCCTCACTATATCGACAGGGTCTACGGCACCAAGGCCGGCCCTTTATCGGATGGAAATCCGGGTATTGTTGTTATGTTATTGTTTTGCTAGATCTGCATCCTGGTATTTAGGATGGTGTTATGTTAGTGACCTGGTTAAGGTCGGTACCGGGGATATAGGGTAATGTTATGCTAGTGACCGGTTAGGTCGGAATCCTGGTTAGGATGTTGTTATGCTATGTGATCTGTTAGACAGTTTGTCTGGTTGAGGAGTGTTATGTGATTGATTGTTTTATGTGCACATGGTTGTTTGACGGGGGTTGGGTTGAGGCGGGTCCTGCTTTGTGCTGAAGGCCAACATACCCAGGGCGGACCGGATATTCCGAAGGCCCAGCGAGCGGTCCGGATAGGCTGAAGGCCCCAAGAGGGCGGACCAGACATGCCGAGGCTCGGGGAGTGGACCAGGCCGACTGAAGGCCCCAAGAGGGCGGACCAGACATGCCGAGGCTCGGGGAGTGGACCAGGCCGACTAAAGGCCCGGTGCGGGCGGACCAGTCATACTATAGACTTAGAGAGTGGACCAGGTGGATTGAAGGCCCGGTGCGGGCGGACCAATCACACTGTAGACTCGACGTACATGGCTAGACTCGGAGGGTGGACCAGGTGGACTGAAGGCCCGATGCGGGCGGACCAGTCACACAGTAGACCCGATGTGCATGGTTGTTCTATTTATGATCTGTTATGAGTATGATATGTGTGGTTGGTATTTTGGGGGTAACTCACTAAGCTTTTGGGCTTACAGTTTCAGTGTATTGTTTCAGGTACTTCAGGAGATCGTGGCAAGGCGAAGGCGTGATCGTACCGCTCCTCATGTTTTATGATTTATATGATATGGTTCTGGGGGATGCTCTGATGTTTAAACTATTTTGAAAACGAGTTGTATGAACGTAATGGTTTTTGAATGATTAAAGTGTTTTAATTTGGCTCAAATTTTATGGGTGTTACAAAATTGAAGAAGAAATAGAAGAAATAGAAGAAATCTGACTTTTGAGACCGTTGTTTACCTTAGAATCCGGAGAAAACGTATCGATTTTCCATAGACGATCGTTGAAGATTTAATTGTGCCTTGGAAGTCGGTCATTACTCGTCTCTTGCTCTCGCACGAGAGTCGTTCCTCCTGCTTTCGTTTTGGTTGGCGTCTGATAAGAGACAAAGAGTATTGGGCTTCAATAATCAGAGTTCAATAAGCTTAAAATTAATGGGCTAATGCTATATAATTAATATAAGAAATATAAAACGGGGGCATTGTGGCATTTAGGGGCCCGGGGCAGTCGTCCAGTTTGCCCAGGCCCATGGGCCGACCCAGGATGCATACCCAAAATTGGGACTAATGTGATATGTGGAAAGTGTGGAAATAATGAGATGCATAACATCCATTTTACAATTAATATGTTCTAATAATATATACACAATGATTAGTTTTTGTTTTAATAATAAAATAATATTATACATAATTTTAAAATATATTCTTGATTTCATTATATAATTTATCTAATTCAAACATTAATTATATATAAAAAAATATTTAGATTAGATAACATCAGAGCTATCGATCTTAAATTTTATAAATATTAAACATTAAACATAAATTATATATGAGAAAATATCCATACTTTAAAATATTAAATATTTAAGTATGAGAAAATTACAAAAATAGCCTAATCCCTTAATTACTTTGTGGAAAATAGCCAAAAAAAAAACTAAAATTACAAAAATAGCCACCAAAATCGCAGATGGACTCAGTCCATCTACGATTTTACTTGTCCATCTGTGATTTTGCGTCCATCTGTGATTTTCTCTTTTTCAGTGATATAAAAAAGTAATTTTTTTTTCTTTTATTTTTCAAATTTTTTGTTGGAGAACTTTCTCTGGAGGCACTATGGACGATTTCATTTTTCAAACATTTTTCAAACTTTTTGTTGGAGAATTCATTTTATTAGAGTGGTTTTAAACAAATTTTCCAAAAAAATAACAACTAAATTGATAGGGTTTCGTAATTAAACCCTATCAATTTCGTAGTCAAAATAAAAAAAAACAAAATTAAAAAAAAACGCATAATCGCAGATGGGATGAGAGGAAATCGCAGATGAACTTAGTTCATAGTTCATCTGCGATTTTAGTCAGAGATTGGGGTATTTATACGGAAAAAATAAAAAAAAAATAAAAAAGAAATCACCTGCGAACGTACAAGTCGCTAAAGAACGGATATGCTTTAACGACTTGTACGATCGCAAATGGAATGCTAAAATCGCAGATGGGCTTAATCCATGTGCGATTTTCATGACTATATTTGTAATTTGAGTTTTTTTGATTATTTTCCCAAAGTAATTAAAAGATTAGGTTATATTTGTAATTTTCTCTTTAAATATCGGTAACTCCATATATCAGAAAACAGTTTAATCATAAAGTGACGAGTAACTTATGAATTTGGTACTTGTGATATATGTGTGTTTAGAAATTTGTCCAAAGAAAAATGGTCGTTTTTTTTAAGTTCACAGCTGGACCATTAAAGTTAACGACATCAGACTAAAATAGGAATGAAACATAGAAAATGGACTAAAAGTGAAAAGGATTTCTTTTAGACACACAAAAAAAGATATTTTAACCATAGGAACCATTTTTGACATTTCCTCAATTTTTTTTATCTATAAAACCTCCTAAAATAGCAAGTATTAAATTTTAATCCATCATAAGTCATACCCTATATAAACAACATGATATAGTCTACAATTTCCTTATATTCCCCATCAATTATTGTTAATGACTGTAGAATCAGCTTTCCCAATGGCTCCAACGTCATCATTGGTGGCTATTCAACGATCGTCTTGGCAGTCACAAGTGCCTTACCTCTTTGCTGGCCTTGCTGCTATGTTTGGTCTCATTGCAATTGCGGTCTTCATCCTCGTTTGCTCCTTCTGGAACCTCTCGCACTACACAGACAATACTGATGGTGAAAGAGACCTCGAGACTGGAAATGGTGATGAAGGCTCCACAATTGATAATTACAACAAGGAGCCCCCAGTTGTAGAAGAGAAATATCTAGTAATCATGGCTGGATTAGCAAAGCCAACATTTTTGGCAATACCCACTTTGAGCAGGCCAACATCAATTGGTACCTGTAGTTCCCTGAACAACTCAACGTCGTTGTCAATGGAGAAAGCTTCAACGTCCATGGTGGAAATGGCGGAGAAGCAGAACCAAGGCAGTAGTAATCAGCAACAAGTAAGGAACACATACAACAACGAAAGTGAAGATCAGGCCCCTTAGTATTTTAGAAGAAGAAATTTCTTTTTATTTGCTCTTGTGTTTACTTTTGAATAACAGAATGTACACTTAGCAATGAAGATTGATGGGGAAACACAAAAGTATAGTTTTGAAAATATGGAGGTGGATAAGGTTTTATCGTTTCCACTTTTTGGGAAATCTTGTAACCATATTTGCATCTCTTCTTTCTCGAAGTGTCAGGTTTTAACATGAACAAAAAGGATTTGGTAACTAGGCAAAAATTGAGCCAATGCAAAACAATTATGCGATTAATCTGTAACCAAACAACACCAAACGGATAAAAAAAAAACTACAAAACACTATGCGGCAGTCGGTACCCTTATCTTATCTTATTGGTGTATAAATTCGTCATGGTCCCATGAAATAAACTCAGTCTGTGCCAAAGAATAAGCTCTATAATACAAGAATTCCTTCGGAATCTGGACGGTCGACATAGCTAGTTTTATTACCTGATAAGCAGTTTCTAGTGTTCTTTCTTTTTGAAAAAAACATTATTTTTTTTTGGTTTGAAACGAATCAAAAATGTTATTTGTCTTGTTTAATAATTAGCCAACAAAACTCCAAATGATATATAGACATAGAACATATATTGCATGATGACTATGACTCGATTATCCACTATAAGGTATTCACATTTACTTTAGAGACATTACTTGTTCACTTTGGACAAGTTAGTAAAGATGCATATCTTATTGTTTCATGTAATATCTTTCCCAATAATACACTCTTACCGATCAAGCAACAATAATCTCACTACAAGGAATCAAGGCAACAACTACAAAAAATTGATGATTCAACGTACTTTCATATTTTTGTTAAGTGAAAATGACACATTAGCCCTACTATGTATTACGACTTTACACATTCAGTCCCTAAAGTTATTCTTGGACCTTTTGAGGGAACAAAGTGTTTTGTCGGGTTGAATTGGTCACTTTGGACAAATTAAAGAGGTAACCCGGTTACTCATTTACCACATAGATACGTATTACCCCTTTTTCCGTTAACACGTTGACTTTCAAAAGTCTATAATTTTCTTATCCACATGTACAAAACATAAATCTTAGTTTTTTCACCCAAATTTGGCATGCTACCGTTCAAAGCACCACCGTGGAGGTTCGGCTCATGGCATCATTTTGGAATGGGGCACCAATTTAGGATTAGCTATTATGGGTATTTAGTTTTTTGGCTCAAAAGAAGAAAATGGAGGCGCAAATCGCAACCTGAAAAGAAGAAAGAGGCAAATCAAAAAAATGAAAACACGGAGGGGCGATGAACGCCGGTGGCGGCAGTGGGGACGACGAATGCCGGTGGCGGAAATTGGCGTGACGAACGACGACACTACCGGAGAAGACTAAAGGGTGGTGATGACAGGATTGACCGATTTATAAAGCCTCCACGCCTATTCCTCTCATTGCCAACTATAGGCGTCTCCCCTAACCTAGATCTCAAGTCACAATAAGACTTATGTGGTAACATTTATTGGAACCCCCATAGCACCACCAGGACTTATGACAAAGTTAGTCTGAGCGAGGTAGAATGTGAGGTTACCTCCGTAACTTTTCGTTACTATGTCAACGATCTGATCGCTTGGACTGATATCTGGTAAATCAAAGGTAAATGAAGTTGCATGGATCAATACCAGAAGGAAGTATTTAATCATAGCTCCTGGAGAATGCCAAGACCGTGGAAACTTGCTAGAAAAAAGTTGTAGGATTTGTTCTTGGGTTAGCTCGTGGGATCAAAATAAGAGCTTTTTTATTTTGTTTTTGGTGTATAACTAATCTCAAAAATGTGATCTGATGGATAGAACTTCCATAGTTGGAGATGCAATTGAGTATATAAAAGAGTTGCAATCCAGTGAGTGAGTGTGTGTTTCCGACCCATAGGTGAGTGAGTGTGTGTGTAGACTTCAAGTTCAAAACGTCGTTGTATGGTCCAAGTCAAAACTAACCTGGCGTAAGTTGCTTATCTGGTTCTATTAACCGGTTAAAAGAGGTTAAGGGGACTAAATGGACAGGTCACTAAATAGGGCTGACAATTCTCGACACGACCCGCGACACGACCCGCAACACGACACGAAATAAATGGGTTTGGGTTGAGTTTTTCAACCCGCTAACCCGTCAACCCGCCAACCCGTTTATTAAACGGGTCATATATGGGTTTCTAAAAAAATAAACGGGTTGACCCGCCAACCCGTTTATATTTTTAATAAAAAAAATTATATTTTATTTTTAAATGTATTTATGTATCAAGTATTAAATATTTAATAAGTATTATATAATATATATACCATTGATTCATACACCACTTGAATTATCTATGTTTGTATTAATGTTTAGTTTGAACATGTTTCTATAAATATTTTTAATTTTCATATGAATGTTTAAGACTTAAGTGTCTAAAATTCGGATATGTTTGCATCAACCATCAAAAATTTAATAATGTTTAATTGTCAAGTTTATTTATAGAATCTGACCCACGAACCCAAATCTGACCCACGAACCCGCCAACCTGTGAACCCGTATAAATAAATGGGTTGGCGGGTTATATATGAGTTTATGTTCCAAACCCGTCAACCCGTGACCCGCCAACCCACAAACCCGCGACACGCCAACCCGAACACGGCACGATTGTCAGGCCTATCACTAAACACTTTGTTTCCTCAAAAGGCTAGAAAATAACTTTAGGGACTAAATGGACAAATACATAGTACGGATAATATGTCATTTTCCCTTTTGTTAATTAAAGTATCTAACTTTTTTTTTCTATTATTGCCTTATACTTTAGATACCATGTTCTTTTTTTTTTCTTTCAGTGAAACCCAAAATCGTTGTAATGACTTCAAACTTTAAACAATGTCTCATTTAATTTCATTTTCTTAGTAGTTTTATAATTTTGTGAATTATAGCATCGTACTTTTGCTTTTGTAGTATTATAACATTGTATTTTAAATAATTCGGTTATTAAATTATATATATATATATATATATATATATATATATATATATATATATATATATATATATATATATATATATATCTATATATAGGCTTAGGTTCTATTGAAAACAAAAAACCCTAAAAAAAACCCTAAAAATCATTAGAATGCATAAAAAAAATACTTAGAGATCACAAAACTTTTTTTTGAATTTTTTTATCAAAAAATCGCAACTTTTAGGTCAAAATCGCTGAAAAAAAATTTTGAAAATTTTTTATTTTTACAAAAAAAAAAAAATTGATTTTTTATTTGTTTTTTCAGCGAAATTGTAAAAAATGCTGCGATTTTTTGATAAAAAAATTCAAAAAAAAGTTTTGTGATGTCTTGGTATTTTTTTATACATTTTTATAATTTTTAGGGTTTTTTTGTTTTCCATATATATATATATATATATATATATATATATATATATATATATATATATATATATATATATATATATATATAATGGTTTAAAAGCAAGAATTGTCATCTTACATTCATTGCTTGAGTTTGGTTTTTTTTTTCTATTATATCACTTTAATTTAAACATTATGTTTTTTTTTATTTTCTTTTAGTGGAACCCATATATTATATTTTGATATGAGATCTGTTTTTTTTGGAAATGTTTGTTTATCTCATGGTTGTTAAAATCGCGATCCTGATCGTAGAATCGTACGCTTCTACGATCATAGGTACGAAAAATGAGCCGGATCGTAAACCGATCGTATTTGGGGTAGGATCGCAGGTAGGATCATAGGATCGAGATCCGATCCGATCCTACCTTCCCTTGGTATATTTTTTTTCCAAATGATTTTTTACCACTTTATGTCTTTTACCCTTTACCAATTTACCATTTATCATTTTGTGTTGTGACTTATGACTAATATTTTGAAGTTGTAACATCCTGTTTCGAAAAGTTTATTATTCCAGGATTGTGGACAATAAATGGATCAAGTAAAGGCCTTCGGTTTCAAAGGGAAGAGAGGTTTAGACTGTATCGGATGTTGATAATATTGGTTATGTGATCTAATCTGTTGGTTTGTGTTTTGGAGCCAAATGATAAAATGGGAAGAGTGATGCTTCAAACTTCCTTCATGGATTATAGTTTTTTAGTTCGACATGTGTGAAGCCAAAATTAACTAGATAAAAGTGTGGGGATCGTCAATACCTTTCCCTGGATATAAAGATTGCCGAAAACAGAGTTGAAACGGAGAAGTTATGGCTGTTTGAAGTTGGGGTGGATTTGGGTGAAAATCGTCGCCATAGAGTGGGGATCAGAGCCTATGGTGTGGTAGTCACCACAGAGTGAGGATCAGAGCCTATGACGTGGCAATCTGTCAGGCCCAAGCCCATGATTTTAGGATTTTCAACGTATTTAAGTATAAGGTTTCGTATTTTTGGGCATTTTAGAAGCCTCCACCACATCTAAGATCCCTTGGGAAAAACCCTAGCCTCCACCTTCAAGATTTCAGCTTCTCATCTCTCCTCTCTCCTCTTTTGGGTGCTTTTTATGATATTTTGATGAAGTTAAAGATCAAGAACGCTCTTTTGGTTGTAGGGAATGATGCTTTAAGTTTAGATCCATCAAAGACACTACATTTCTAGACTATTGTAAGTATAAAGTTCCAATCTTGCTATCTAGTTCTTTAGATCTTGTTATATGGGGTTTTTGGCACTTCTGGTCCATATTATGGGTGATCTTAGAGTTGAGTTGACTCCAACATCTTTTGATCAGTTTAAAATGCTTCATGGACCTCATGGATTAGCAAAGTTATGATCCTTTGCCTTCCCTTTTTTCCATTTAAGTTATATTGGTCCTTTAGGCCATTTTGGTGTATTAAAGTTTAGATCTTGAAAGAGTGTGACATAATACTGGATAAAGTTGGAAAATTTATCCATACAGACATCTTGTTGATTTAAATCTGAAAGTCGGAGACTTGGACTTAATGGATTAAGTTAAGAAAGTTGCATTTTGGGTCCCTTTAAGACTTAAAGTCTAGAT